GAGGGGATAGACACATTGTAATCCATAGGGGATAGACACATCGTTATCAAGAGGGGATAGACACATTGTTACCGAGGGGGGATAGACACTTTGTTATCGAGAGGGGATAGACATATTGTTATCCAGAGGGGATTTACACATTGTTATCGAGAGTGGATAGACACGTTGTTATCGAGAGGGGATAGAAGAGGGGATAGACACATAGTTATCCAGAGGGGATAGACACATTGTTATCGAGAGGGGATAGACACATTGTTATCCAGAGGGGATTTACACATTGTTATCGAGAGTGGATAGACACGTTGTTATCGAGAGGGGATAGACAGGTTGTTATCGATAAGGGATAGATACAATGTTATCGAGAGGGGATAGACACATTGTTATAGAGAGGAGATAGACACATTGTTATCGAGAGGGGATAGACATATTGTTATCCAGAGGGGATTTACACATTGTTATCGAGAGGGGATAGACACGTTGTTATCGAGAGGGGATAAACACATTGTTATCCAGAGGGGATAGACACATAGTTATCCAGAGGGGATAGACACATTGTTATCCAGAGGGGATTTACACATTGTTATTGAGAGTGGATGGACACGTTGTTATCGAGAGGGGATAGACAGGTTGTTATCGAGAGGGGATAGACACATTGTTAGCGAAAGGGGATAGACACATTGTTATCGAGAGGAGATAGACACATTGTTATCGAGAGGGGATAGACACGTTGTTATCGAGAGGGGATAAACACATTGTTATCCAGAGGGGATAGACACATTATTATCCAGAGGGGATAGACACATTGTTATCGAGAGGAGATAGACACATTGTTATCGAGAGGGGATAGTCACATTGTGATCGAGAGGGGATAGACACGTTGTTATCGAGAGGGGATAAACACATTGTTATCCAGAGGGGATAGACACATTATTATCCAGAGGGGATAGACACATTGTTATCGATAGGGGATAGACACATTGTTATCGAGAGGGGATAGTCACATTGTGATCGAGAGGGGATAGACACGTTGTTATCGAGAGGGGATAGAAGAGGGGATAGACACATAGTTATCCAGAGGGGATAGACACATTATTATCCAGAGGGGATAGACACATTGTTATCGATAGGGGATAGACACATTGTTATCGAGAGGGGATAGACACATCGTTATCGAGAGGGGATAGACACATTGTTATCGAGAGGGATAGACACATTGTTATCGAGAGGGGATATACACATTGTTATCCCCTCTCGATAACAATGTGTCTATCCCCTCTGGATAATAATGTGTCTATCCCCTCTGGATAACTATGTGTCTATCCCCTCTTCTATCCCCTCTCGATAACAACGTGTCTATCCCCTCTCGATCACAATGTGACTATCCCCTCTCGATAACAATGTGTCTATCCCTTCCCGATAACAATGTGTCTATCCCCTTTCGATAAGAATGTGTCTATCCCCTCTCGATAACAATGTGACTATCCCCTCTCGATAACAATGTGTCTATCCCTCTCGATAACAATGTGTCTATCCCCTCTGGATAACTATGTGTCTATCCCCTCTGGATAACAATGTGTTTATCCCCTCTCGATAACAACGTGTCTATCCCCTGTCGATAACAATGTGTATATCCCCTCTGGATAACAATGTGTCTATCCCCTCTCGATAACAATGTGACTATCCCCTCTCGATAGACACATTGTTATCGAGAGGGGATAGACACATTGTTATCGAGAGAGGATAGACACATTGTTTGAAGATGTCCTAAGTGTCTTATTGTGTTTTTTTATCGTGGACGTAACCGATCCTCTTGCAATGCTTAGATTTTGCTAAGGATTTGTCTTCTTTCTCCTCAGAATCAGAACCATACACTTTTTTCTTTCTGTCTGAGAGTCTTTGTGTCTGGGGAAGGTAAACTAAACAGCACAACAGATGAAGAGGCAGGGGAGGGGGTTCAAAGTTATTTACCTCTTGTGATCATACAGTTATGTCTTAGGCTCTTGTTGACACTGACGCTTTCACGACACGTGCTTTGTCTCTAGACTGCCTGTCATTAAAGGAAAATATGGAGAATCCTCGTTTGGACTGTGGAATTCCTTCGTTCGTCGAGGGCATCTTGACAGCGTGTTGAGCTTGCATCTTTGCTGCAGATCTATAGCGCTTCTCTAAGTTGAACTGTTGCATGAGACAATGTTCATATAAGGCAACTTGCATTTGTTTCTGTAAGACATGCCGCAGTACCCGATGATAACACTCATCTGCCGAAGTATCACTTATCTTATGATACAGCATGTATCCAATGATTTTTGACGACATGACAACGCCCAGATAGGGGAAAGTCGGGTAACCTCGACCACGCGGGTAAGAGAGTCTGAGAGTCTACATTTTACATCATAAGAAGTGCACAATATCGACACAATGGGATCTCCAAGATGTTTATCTGAGATATTACTACATATTTCAATTACTAAAAATAGAAGTAGAAAAATACCTCAATATATTCTTTGAATTTGGATTACATTTTGTAAAAGAAAAAACGTACATATCGAAGTGAAAAACAAAAGATGATGAAAAAGACAAAGCGCTGTCCAATATCCTATGCTGAAACGACAGGTCTACATGACATGGAATGGAACAGTAATACCTTTGTATACGCTTCTCAAGGACGTCCAACCTGTACTGATTTGATTATGGTTCATGTTTAAACTCCATGACCTTTGTACATGTGTACACACAATAGTCGATGGTCCTGTTTGTTTATGTTTTGGCTATAAATGATAAAACGAATCTGTAGCTAAAAGTAGGAGATGTCCTTGACAGACGGTCGTTTTTTTTTTTTTTACATATTTTATTGGTTGTAATAAAAACGAATTGCATACAAGTTACTACATCTCATAATTCTTTTATTCCTTATAACACGAATACAGATTATATAATATATTTTGTTGCTATAAAAATATATATTTAATATATATATATAAATATATATTTGGCAGCAGATACCTACAATTGTACAGGTCAGTATTTCAGAATTAAATCAGAGTCATTTGATTTACCACGGAATTGTTATCAAAGTAAGTGGTTTAACAATTTAGACCATCGGATTCTTTTTGTAACAGCACCCAGAAGTTTAATTAATTATGTCAGTTAACAATATTCCGTCTTTGCGTATTGCAGAGTTATCTTCTCTTGTGAGCAGGTATTATTGTTACGTCATTGGTTTGTGTGAGAAAATTTCGTCGATTTTTTTAAAAAATTGATGACGTTACTCTCACAAACTAATGACGTAACAAGCAATACCTGCTCACAAGAGCAGATACCTCTGCAATATGAAAAGACGGAATACATAACATTCTTGATCAATGTGGCAGAGATATGAGTTATTTTTCTTGACTGAGTAGATCAGAACTATCCAATATAATATCAATATCAATCAAAAATGAATGAAACAAACTTCTAAAGAGTGCAATACGAGAATCATTATGTTCATAATCAAAGAAAATGTTATGGGACTATAACGAGGTTCTCCAATGAGTGGTGGTTGGTTATCTCGATAAAGTTCATTTTCAAATCATATTTATAAAAACACGAGGTTTACAGACATGTCAGCGTAATACATATATAGAGCTCTTCATGTAAGTTTTGTTCATTCCACCGCCCATCAAAATATTGCCAACATATAGCAATGCTGCCTAAGCATCCCTTCTTCATGTTCAGACAGTCGTGTGGGGGAGACACGGTTTGGGGGCTTGTACAAGTCTATCACGGGTCCGTGCGACTTTTGAAAAAAAAACGTTTTGTATCTTGTGTCTTGTATTTGGAAGTTAAGCATTCGCATTCCCCCAAACTTAACCTATTCTATCAAAGTTGGATCATTTGTCGTGGAAATAGCACGAGGAATCGTTCTAAGACATGAGTGATTGAAATTACCCGAATCGTTATTTAAACTCATTCACTTCGTTAAAAGCTGTAAATTAAAAACGGAACACCCAAAATGTTTGTTTTTTTTAAGTTTTGAGGCGTTTTCACGTGACAATCCAGAACGAGAGGAAAACTTTAGTGATCGAAATTACCCGACTTTCCCTTACAACATTGCATTCTATTTTGGAATTATCAGAAATCCGCTATTCTCCAAGAGATTCATCAGAATTGTCTGAAGCAGCTCGGTGTGTCTCAGTCTATTTGTGTTCTATACCTTTTAAAGTGAAGTGGATGATTGGTTGAGCAGCAGCAGTTTAGTTTAGTATGATTTTTGTAAAACTAATTAAAAATACCCAGGATGGTATGTAGAGTTTTGGCTACCTCTGGAGAATCAATTTCTTATTGCGGCAATTTTGTTTTGTACAGGAAATTGTATGTAGGTTCAAAACTTCATTTTCTGTACATGTGATTTTGTAGCTTCATACTCCCTAAAGGTATGTCTGTAACTGTGTCTTGTGGCGATAAATGCAACTAAAAACCAAGCAAGGAATATAAGAAACTCGGTGTAGTGTTAGTCAACGTAATACTATGCAAACTGTCATCTGAATCGTGCAGTTTGTGTAACAGCACAAACGCGTTGTGTCATGAAGGATTGTTATTGTGCGTCGTCACGATCTACACATATATAACCCGTCGTTGATGTTAGAAAAAAATACATTCTAAATATAAAATAAATATATTTCATTACATTATAAAAGTGTTTCGGGTGTAGAGTCAGCTGTGTTAAAACGGTGATTGAGAAAAATATAGAGCTTTTAACGTTATCAGTGTACGTCATGGTTGACTGAAAAATCGTGAATAGCACTCGGCTGTATCTGAGGTATCTTTAATGTCGAAACTTCTCATCTAAATCACATATATGCGTATATAGGCAATTTGTGGGCGATTACTGGAAGTTACATCGCATGGTTGGCGACGTAGTCGTAACGTATCAGTGGGAGTTAAACCGGATGTTTCACATACGAGGGTTTGTCGATTTAGACATGATATGTATATTTTCTCGGGTGTAGGTACTATAGCTATTAAGCGATGTTGTATACAAATATTATTATTATCATAGCGGTTGATATGAATTTTCACAGTTTATATATCAATATGTGAGGCTAGGTTTTGTTGTTGTTGGTATAAGACTTTAAGGTTTAGAAATGCTCAGTATACAACAGAACGCGTCACAGCATGCAAACTGGGTCATACTTATCAGGTATTTTTAGTAACAAGTAGTATACGTAAATGACACAGTTTCATAAAGTAAACTCGTTGTATTTTTACTACGATGTTGTCTTTGGAATGTATGGTAAGTAATTGAGTGTTCTAAATATATATAAACGAAACAGGTTTAATGTCATGTAAAGTACAGCACTTCATCCGAGTCTACCCGTTTACGTTTCTATGTAGATTGAATCTTAGTAAAACTACTTCAAGCTAGACGGAAGTTAAACAGAATTCATTAGATATCAAATGTATTTCATCGCTTTATAAAGTGTTGTAATACGTCATCATAAGGAGAGAGACTAAAGTATGAAGTGAGTATTAGTTGAAGGAATGTGTATATATTTATTTACTGATATATGCATTTTATTTGTATTTTGCCACAAAATAGAAAAAAAAAAATGTTAAAAAAGATAAACAGGAGGATATCGATTGAAATATGACCATGCTTATGATGATTTAAAGTAATTATTTATTAAGACTGTCTTGTGAGCTGTCCAAGCCGTAGAAAAACTGTTGTCATAGGCATACTCACTATAACTTTCTCGTTCATTGTCCATCTCTTTCCTTGAGCACACACTGTTTTGAACTATCCCTTGTCTCCATGAGAATCCATTTCTTTGTCGTTTAACACTATCTCCTCTACGACCAGGACAGCGCTCGTCTAATTGTCATTCTGTAGTAAGATCATGATTTGTTAAACGATGTTCATGGTTGGCGTTATGGTCATAAGAAAAAAGATTGACAGAGGAAAATAAGAAGGTGGAGGGGTTGGCTTCAGGTATTGTCAAATAGTTTGGAATAACTGACATTTTTTGTACATATTCGCATAGTTTAGTATTTGATGTAGTGTTAAGATCCATGTCGCCGTTCATTAAGTGCTCGGTAACATTGGTATACCAGACGTTCATTTAGCATGATGAGTCTGCCGGTGTGATAGAGAGGACATTGAACAAAATAATGCTTTGCGTCTTCAAGATCGTTTCCATATTGATAATAGTGAGGAGAAGATTTTATTGTACTATGGGGTATGGGAACAATGATTATTTCTTTGAACGAGTGAATGTGCCTCCATGAATGAGGTAAGGTACATGTATGATCCACGTCGTGATCAGTGCTCTGCAGGAATGGAGGTGTTTCTGTTAATTGTAGTTGTTCGGTGGTGCATATATATGATTTTAAAGAAGAGCATAAGACGTGTTCTTGTTCTGTAATTGGAGATTGTGATTGAGCATGTGTTATGGAATCTATAGTTGGCGCGACGTTCTGTTCTTCTTTGTACTTTTATTTGGTTTGTTTGTGTTGTTTGTGTGTGTTTTGTGTTGTTTGTGGAGTGTGGGTCCAAGACTAAAGAGAAATAATCTTGTGTTGGTCGCTGACGATGTCATTGAATACATGTTCTTTAATACGAGATGAATTTATTTCGAAGTTAACTTTTTTTAAACCCTAGTGATTTATATGCATGTCATGTATTTGACGAGATTTTCCAATTTTATGTTTTTAAATTCAAGTCCTTGCTGTTATGAGTTTAATGATTCGAATGTGTGGTCAAGGCGTTTACTCGATATTTGATGTGTGTGCAGTTTGGTTAAGTTGTGAGTAGGTGGTATTTACATGTATCTGGGTGGCATTAAATGAGCCAGTCCTCTTCCCATTTGCAAGCTGCATTTGTCTTGTTGTCGAGTGTCATCTTTGTTTTGTTTGTTTTGTAGAGCTCATTGTCAAAGAAATCAAATTTGTCATAGCTTTATTCCGATAAAACGGTTTTTTTTTTTTTTTTTTTGTGGTTTTGATTACAGGTTTTGTAATAAAAGATTTGCATATAATCATATATGCGCTGCTAAAAGCAACAAAACTGTAGTTTGCACTTAGGAATAAGTTTACCACCGTTTAATCCACCTTACAGTTGTTTCGCTGATGGGCTAGGGCATAGTAACAAAGGCGAGTAAAAACCAAAATGAAAATGTTTTTTGAGAACTTATTGATTTTTTTATGGCAAGTTTCATTTCAATGACATGTATCCGTCTATAAATAGGAATGCTAGTGAAATATGATCGTTTAAAGGTGACAATATCAGCTGAATTAAAAAAATGCTACCAAAACTATATACATGTATGACAAAATATATATGGAAGGCAATGAAATATCAAAACTGTTCTTTACAGGAGTAGCATGTTATGTAGATGAGTAGCACTTCGGAAGTCGTTACAAACCCACATGATGAGGGCCGTGTTGACATGGATGATAATGACTGTGACCTCCGAATGGTGTGTCCATGGATTCCCATATTACCAGACACTTATCCCAAATGGAGGCAACATCAGTGATCCTTGTGACGGAGTGACCATTTGGCAGGGCGTGGGCCATCAGGCTATGGGCGGGGATGGACCAAGAAATCCTTTCGGACTCGACTTTCATAGTAATGAAAAGGCAAGAAATAACATTCATTTATGTATTGTTTTCATAATAGCAAGATGAAAATCAACGCAATGGTAACAATGTAATTGACTCAATGCCGACTATAGTTGCTCAACGTTGACTTACTGGCTACTCAGGCACATATGCCTAGTGCAGAAAGGCATGTCCTGGTGTCCGTCACTGGGTGTCCTCACCACAATTGGTTTCAAACAAATAATGCAGTAAGGCTGATGAAACTTGACATCATTCGCCCTGATGGAGCACATCGTCTTATATGTTGGGTCTGAAACCCAAAACGTTTCATCAACTGGCACTATATTCGTAATCAATGTATATATATATGAAGTTTGTTGATTTAGAAGACGATCATCATTACACGTTGGCGTCGTTTACATACAAGACCTTCATTTCATTCATTTAAGAGCATCAATCTACCGACAATGGTCGTCAAAACATGAACTGAACTTTACGAACAGTAAATTAGGCGGATTTTTTTTATCGTGAGCTAGACAGATGTTTCAGTTCATTTAGGTTTTTAACTACATTTGTAATCAAATGTCTAAATGTAAACAATATTTCAAGCATGTCCCCTCACACATCAAAGCTAATTATTTGTCTCTAACAAACACAACCTGCACAGAGGCTTTTTCAACAGAGTTGTGCGTGAATGGTTTATGTGAAACTAATGCTTGGTTTATCTAAATGAAGACATCATTGTAACTCCAATGTGGTAGACCTGATAATACTTAAAAGGCAATATTAAGGAATTATAATATAATATTATATCATACACTAATCAAAACTCAAACGCGTTGTCTAGAAATATTTACACAGCTTTACATGGAGAAGAAAGTTTATGAATTTCATTAAACACCACAGATATGGAACCGTACGTTTTGTGAAATGGACTCAGATGGAGACGGGTTCTCAAATGGGGCGGAGCTTGGTGACCCAAAATGTGTATGGATCCCCGGGTCAGAACCAGACGGCACGCCCACTGGACATCCGGGTATGTCGTCCTCTGTAATTGAAAAACATATGATCAAGTTAGATCAATTAAACGACGTAAACATTGTTTTGTTAACTAGCTTCAATTTGTGGAGTGTTGTAAAATCTGATAAAAAATATGGGTCGTCTCGTAATAGACAGCTCACTCAACATCCAGATTTAACTGTATTATTTGGTAACACACAGACGCCACAGATCAGCCATAGACTTATGGATATAATCTTTGCTCGTGTTTTGATTACAACACATAAATTAAAACAGTTATACTGTGAAATTTGCAATGAGTGCCGGAGATAAGAAGGTTTTTTTGCGTCACTCAATTTCCGAATAATCTATACTACAATGTACTTATACTGATGTATAAGGTATTACGTGGGATAGTCGGGTGGCGCAATGGATAGTGCACTCGCCTGTTACCAAGACGGCTGTGTAATTTATTCCATGATCGGACGTGATAGATGTGGGCTCGCTCACCTCCGAGCCAACTAGAGTGATTAAAAAGAGTGATTATTATAGGTTGAAATAACTTGTTTTGTAAGTGTTGTAAAATACATACAAATATGTATAATTTATTCTTCGTACATTGTAATGCTGTACATCTGAACATCTGAGTTAATTGAGATAACTCATCACCATGTCATTGTCTAATGAATCCATGAATTTACCCCGAGACTTGACTTCTTCATTCCGTAAGATCTTATCTTAAGGATGCTGGCTAATTACATGCAAATTCCCTTATATTCTACCTGGGTTTTTTAATTGGTATTTTCATGTCATGCTTACATTAAAACTTACATGAACATGTAGGAATATAGATCTGTTGAGCTTTGCTCTTTGCTGCAAAGATATGAAGCATATGAAGTTCATTAAGACAATTTTACTACACTTATCCTTTATTGTTTACGCCAAAAATGTAACTTTTGTAATTGAAAGATATTTGAGTTATAAAAAATGTGTTGTGTTTCTTAAACGTTTTATGAAAAACAAAATGTCTTTTGAAAATTACAACAAAAAGATTGATTAATTGTTCTACAGGAACAGGAAAACAAATCGATTTATAGTCGGAAAATAATTGGAATTCTGGTTACAGCTGAAAGTGCACGAATGCACTTACTATTTCAGTCCTATGTTATCTCTGAACGAATGTGGTTGATATACAAACATTCCGAATTTACAAGGTAAAAATGTTAATTTAACATCACACATCATTGCACAAACCATGTTTTTTATTTTATTCGATTTAAACTCACAGCGACCCAGAATTTTTAACATAATGTATCTTATCAGGACTGTGTATTTGGAAATATGCCAAAATATCATTCATCTTACATGAGCTATACAAAGATTATTGGGAGATAGACTCGTATAAACTTACCTGTTACCTGTACAATGTTTCTACCGTCTTTTAAACTCAATAAATAAAAATGATGTCGTTAGGCAGGAAGCAAACACGTTGTATTTTCCTCATGTAATATGTAAATGAAATGTTCATTCGTTCTACCGTCCTGTTAAAAAAGAGACACAAAAAAGATTAAATTGAAGGTCGAAATAATGAAACATTATATTGTTTGTTTCTTTAACCATCTATCTTCCTCGTGTTTCGAATGCACGATATGATATATTAAATGTGTTTTTGATACTGAAAGAAGTATTTGTCGACCAAGTATGACAAATGCCATTCTTTTACAGGGATATGTGAACCTTTGAGGGACTCTAAGTGTTTATCGATAAACAAATGGTATACGTGTGAAAAACGTGATCTCGAGTGTGATGCCATCAATAGTCCAGGTAAGTAGCTACAATAGTCCAGGTACAAGTAGTTACAATATTCGAGAAAGGTAATTTACAATAGTCCAGGTACATGTCGTTACAATATTCGAGAAAGGTAATTTACAATAGTTCAGGTACATGTCGTTACAATATTCGAGAAAGGTAATTTACAATAGCCAGGTACATGTCGTTACAATATTCGAGAAAGGTAATTTACAATAGTCCAGGTACATGTCGTTACAATATTCGAGAAAGGTAATTTACAATCGTCCAGGTACATGTAGTTACAATATTTATGTAGGTTATTACAATAGTACAGGTATAGGCAGTTAAAATATTTTAGGTAGGTAATCACAATAGTCCAGGTAGGTAGTTACAATAGACCGGGTATGTACACTGTAGTTACAATAGTCCAGGTACAGGTAGTTGCAATAGTTTAGGTAGGTAATGCAATAGTCAAGGTAGGAAGTTACAATAGCCTCGGTAGGTAATTACAATAGTCCAGCTACCGGTATTTCTATATTCTAGATATGTAATTACAATAGTCAAGGTTATTGTTACAATAGTCTAGGTAGGTTATTACAATAGTCCAGGTTCAGGTAGTAACACTATTCTAGGTAGGTAATAACAATAGTCAAAATAGTTAGTTACAATAGTCTATGTAGGTAATTACTGTAGTCCAGGTAGGTAGTTACAATGGTCCAGCTACAGGTAGTACTAATATTCTAGATATGTAATAACAATAGTCAGGGTCTTTGTTACAATAGTCTAGGTAGGTTATTACAATAGTCAAGTTAAATGTGGTAACACTATTCTAGGTAGGTTACTACAATAGTCCAGGTACAGGTAGTAACACTATTCTAGGTAGGTAATTACAATAGTCAAAATGGTTAGTTACAATAGTCTATGTAGGTAATTACTGTAGTCCAGGTAGGTAGTTACAATGATCCAGCTACAGGTAGTACTAATATTCTAGATATGTAATAACAATAGTCAGGGTCTTTGTTACAATAGTCTAGGTAGGTTATTAGAATAGTCAAAGTAGGTAGTTACATTAGTCTAGGTAGGTAATTACAATTGTCAAGGTAGGTAATTACAATAGTCCAGGTAGGTAATTACAGTGCTCCAGGTAGGTAATTACAATAGTCAAGGAAGGTTATTACAGTAGTCCATGTAAAGGTAGTTACAATATTATAGGTTGATAACTACAATAGTCCAGGTAGGTCATTACAATGGACCAGACAGGTTATTATCATCACTTTGCATTGCATTGATATCACTATGATTATTTCCTTGGCCTTCGTCAAAGAATTGGAATAGACATTATACATAAGAAATGTTATGGTATGATATAATGCAAACATTACACTAAACAGTTTACCGAATATTCTTAGGTTTAAAATGTTCGGCTAAATGTTGATTATACACAATATTACATAATACATGTTAACAATATCATCATTAAAAGTGTAAAGGTTGTACTTTCAGAATGGTCAGCTGAAAACTATATACACGAATAAATATACGGAAACATTTACATAGGTTCGCACGTAGCATTCAACATATCCCTAAATAAGTCGCAATGAGAGAATAAGACACAAGTTGTGTATTAGTGTGAATCACTTTATATTGATATTCTGGATCAAAACTACAGATACATTATTCCGACTAAATAACTTTAACTACAGCTATTGATCAAGGCCAGATTTAGAGCTAGTTTTGTAGGAATCGGTCTGAGATAGGTCTGATGAGGCGTCACTGCAATCAGCATGATAAAAATAAAATAAAAATAAAATACACGATTGTGTCAGTAGATTCCCTGAACCACATAGGGTAAACGTCACGACATATCCCGTAAAATCCAAGGTAATATTTCGGTTATTAACGACGTCAGTCAGTTAATAAGTCTTTAAACGTGGTAGATACACTAACATTCAATAGTACGATATCAGGTTCAGATGACAGCCTCACCATATCTTAAGATTAGACTGAAACCTTTCCTACAGGACAGAACCCCTGCACGTTCGGGAAAAGAATATGACCTGCTCTATCCCAATGTATGATCGTAAAAGAGGACTATGGTGACAAGGAAAAATGTTTAACCTATTTGAAGCCGTCTTACATCATCGTACTTAGAGAGCCGTCTAGAGTGAACACATGTACGATTAAAAATAAGTTAGATTAAATAGTATTGAAGGAATCACCTTACTTTACCTTATCGAGTCGTAATAAGGGATGTTAAATGGCAATAATTGAGAAATACTATGCAACTACTCATGTTGGAGCATCGGTACTTGTTCTATTTAAATTTGCCATGGCTTAGGTATTAATCTCTACTTTCATAATGATCATTTATATATATTTATTGGTTAGATGTTGTCGTTAGAAGGTGTTTTAACTTATACTTATCTAGCTATACTTTAACATAATAAAACATGTTTCATCTAATCTAGACCTAAATAAATAACATACCAGCGATTCGGAGATAAAGATTCGATTATTACTAAGGACACTAGAAAAGAATATCAGTAGATTATGTAATTGTCAAACATTTTGAAAAGGTGTCGAAAGTGTGCATTACGTAACGTAATTTAAAAATCAGATTGCTAATATGGCGGTCAACAGCAGAAATAATGTACTCTCACTGCTCTCAATATCTTTAAAGTAAACTGATGTGTTTTTCGTTATACAAGCATACGGTTTATTGTGGAGGTAAGACGAAAGATGAAGAATAAATAATTCTGACAAATTATACATAAAGTATGTTTCACATTTCACAAAGCCATATATTGTATACGTCAAATCTTTCATCGTAATGGTAACATTAACTTGAAGATTCTTGCTGTAATTCATCATTCAGATGTCCAGGAGTTTGAAATAAAGTTGCCAAAAACGAAGGTACCCGTCAGGGCTACGACATTCACGTGCACGAATTTTGCATTCCCCTCCGACAAGGACTACCATATCATTGCAGATAGAAGTAGCATCGACAATCATAACGTCATGCATCACATCATCATCTATGGATGTCCAAACGAAGGTATATATATAACGTCAGCGAAATTGGATTTAGAATAAATTTCTTAGCATACAAATCTGAAGAGTTGCCATCGTTTTACAATTTGATTGTTGTCAATGACAGATTTTATTATGTTACATCCTATAACCTTAACAAAACTGACGTCGTATTCCGCAATCTTTGGTATCTCGATTTAGATTTAGCATGACTATTAAATCGAGGTTTTTTTTGTAATATGAATTCATGAATTTTAATTCACTTGGTAATGTTACATAACTTGCTCACAATATAATTTGAAAAAATGTTGTGGTACTGTTTAAAAAGTTTACAACAGTTGTAAAGCAAGTTTGATAAATTATATGACGGCTAGCTCGCTCACCTTTCATCAAGTAATGGTACTGTGTATGCTTTACACCTTAAATGGTACTGTACGCCTCCGTACAAATCATTTAAGCAATACAGTTACTTTTCCTGGCTGTGCATCTATGGTGATAAGTACACTGCACAAGGAACCCCATACCCTTTAACGCGAGTTAATAATCAAGAGTTACTTCCAACAGTACATTGAATCATAATAAACTTAATTGATATATATATATATTTTTTTTATTTTCCTGTAGTTGAAAATTTGATTCACCCGTTGAATACACAGTACGATTGTCTTGGAGAGATGGGGGAACAGGAATGTGTAGAACAAATATCTATGTGGACCATTGGTAAACCTGGTTTGTGTCTTTACGAGAAGGCTGGCTTCAAGATAGGAGCTACCGGTTACAAGTATGCTACTATGCAGGTAAATGATTATACATGTGTACACTGCACTTGTGTTTGTTGAGTCATCAAAGCTTCAGGATCTGGCCACCCTGTAACAATCTACCCTTTTATTTATTAAAATGATGAATTTTATGTTCGAGGACATCTTACATATTAAATAATCTATTAAACAAATATGCTTAAGTTTTCAAATTTATTCTGCTAAAGAACAATTTAAAATGATTCCACGGAATTGTCCTGCTTGAATTTTTTCCCCATTTACTTGTCAAAATTAGTTGTTTAGTTTAAGAGTCTTCGCAGCAGCAACGGATATATTACGACCATTACAACTGATCATGATAGGGCCCATCAACGGTAATTCGATAAAAATATAAAATATATAATATAGCTATATTATATTGAACATATAGCTGTGTGAAGAAAAATCAAAAGTATATTCCACATATAGCTAGGTTTGGACTCTGAAGTATATGTAGCATCAACGTATTTCGAAAATGTATCACATATATCTGTGTTACAAAGTGTACGACTGATCACTAGTACATGTATATACCATGTAAAGCTGTGATACCTGTAGAACTGATGTATATATACTACATAAACCTGAGTTAGAACTGAACAATATAGTATATACATGTTCTACAACTAGCTGTGTTAGGTTTGGTTTGGTTTGGTTTGGTTTAGTATTGTTTGACGTCCTATCAACAGCTACGGTCATTTAAGGACGGCCTCCCATGTGTGCAAGATGCATGCGTGTAGTGTATGCGTGTGTTTTTGTGGAGGCTGCTATATGTTCGTGTTTGTTTGTGATAGCGCGAAACTGATGCCGACTTGATAGTGCTACCTCACTGAAACATACTGCCGAAGACACCCAGCAGGACACCCTACCCGGTCACATTATACTGACAACAGGCGAACCAGTCGTCCCACTCCTAAAGTGCTTAGCGCTAAGCAGGAGTAGAAACTACCATTTTTATAGACTCTGTTATGTCTCGGCCAGGGGACAGAACCCAAAGCCTTCCTCACAGGGGCGAACACTCAACTAAAGGTCAAAAGTGAGGCATTGTCAAGGGAGACATTATGAAGAAGAAAGTTGTTTATAAAGAAGAGAAAAGATAAGATCCCAGATGTAGTCGCCTCTTACGATCATGCAACGGGGGCAGCAGGTACAAGTCTTACGCCCTACCTGCAGGGACATAACTGATCACTAGAATCTTCTTCGATAAAACTCAGCGTTGAAGAAGTTGTTTCACGGTTAAATTATAATGGCTGCAATATTATTTTCCGTTCTTGGTGATCTTGTTTATTTATGATTTTATTATTTAAAGGTTCATTGGAACAATCCAGGATTGAAAGACAGCTACGAGGACAGTTCTGGAATGATACTGTACTATACACCTCTACTTAGGCAATACAATCTTGGAAGCCTTTTGACGGGCGAAAAAAGGTTCAGTATCCCTCCTGGAAACTCTAGCTACGTTGTAAATTCTGAGTGTACTCCCGTTTGTTCAGCTAAAATCATGAACAGTCCCATCTACGTCGTCAGTGGATTTAACCACATGCACAAATTAGGTAAGTACATGGCAGGTGGTCTCCAGCTTGATCCTTAAAAAAAATGACCTGCTTTATTCCGCTGCATGATAACAGAATCTTTTGTATTAGATGTATATCTTGTTTTTATACGCTAATATGAATAATTAATTTACAACTGATTTATTACTAATGTTTTCATTTAATATATGAAACATTTGTAATAGATCATGAGTAAATCTTCTTCAATAGTCACCACACCGCTGTCAAAAAGTATTGCTACACATTGGAAACGTTTCCCCCAGAATGACTAAAGCTTTGATAAATAACTTCTTAAAAGAAACGATGCATTGCGGGACTGAAATGAAAAATAAATAAAGATGAAATGGACAAAATAGCACAGTAGTGTTCTAAGTGTTCAAAACTCTTAACCCTGACCTTCAAATTGTCATACTATCCCTCAAACGGACAGAGCTACCTGGTCAACGGAAACATCTTTGCACAAGTGTGCTACAATTAATTCCAAAATAAAACAAAGGGAAGATTACTATTTATCTATTCGAACGAATTATCACAATGCAATGGAGCTGGGATCATTAAACTTTACAAATCAGTTGCAAATTTCTTCTTAAACTTGACGATGGGTAGACTATTATTGTTACAAGTGAAGTATGAGTAGCTGAAGGTCAAGCTCGGTATGTATTGTAGTTCCATGATGTACAATAAGAACAATAGCTTTTTTAAATGCTTTTAATGATATACAAACTCAACATTTTGATTCAGTACATATATTGTTTTGGATATTTTAAGTTCAGAGATTGAAAAGCTAATTGTAGAATAAAACTAAATAATTATGATAACGTATCAGCAAAAGTTTCGAAAATGCGTACCTCGAGTTTCTAAGGCATGAAGTGATATCTTAAATATGTTATACATTGAAAGGCAGAGCGATGACGCTGTCTCAAAGGTCACCCGGCCTTGAAGAACGCATCTTGACGCATGATTCCCATTACAGTTTTGGCAACCCCGTCGTTCACGCGTAAGTACTACACGAACATTTTGTAATCATGGTTTGTGTAAAGCAACGTTACCACTAATACTAAAAAGACAGTGTTTATTAGTTTGGTGTGGTTGATTAAAGATCTTCACTCGTAGAGAGGACATTACAAATACTTTTCTTCAACCACATTTGATCATAGTTTTGCGTTTTCCACAATTTGGGGCGTGTTCAATTCCACTAGCTTTGATCACAATCGGATGTGTCTTTTCCAAGAATTAAGTCTATGTAGTCTTCAAATATTTTTTATAGTATGTTTAGGCAAATTAGCTTTGATCACAGTTGAACGGGTTTCATACTACTACCTTTGATCAAAATGTTGTAAATTTATAAAATTATCTAAGATCACAATAAATTGCTCTATCCAGCGTAATTATTTGATAACAGTTTGGGGTGTTTGTTCTCACAAGACTATGAACAGAAGGAGTACCCCTTAAATGGATAGACATAATTTGTCGTATCAAAGTCCAGAAAATGACAAATGCACCTGCTGAAACATGCTTAATGTCATGTTTGTTCTTAGCATTGTAATTCTGATTTTCTGTTTTGTATCTTTCGACGACATTCCGGTTTGGTTTTGGTTTGGTTTGGTTTGGTTTTGTGTAACGTCCTATCAACAGCTTAGGTGATTTAAGGACGTGCCCCATGTGTGTTCGTTACTAGTAGTTACTAAAGAAGACTGGTGTACTCGGAGATAAATTATTCCTACAGCATGTGTCATTTCGATTGTTTTCAGCTTCGACCCTCCAATAGAAATCAAGCCTGGAGACGAACTGAGAACGAAATGTACGTTCGATTCATCTCGCAAAAGTACTGTTACTTATCAAGGTGATGGTGCTTTGGATGAGATGTGCAACAGTTTCGTGATCTATTACCCAAAAGAATCTCTCTGGATATCCGAGTGTATGTCATACCAGGGACTGCCTATGTGTTCCCTAAGGGATCTTGCTGCTTTTATAGATAAACGACTAAATGAAGAATGATTCACTCTGAATGAATCAAACTGTGCTTTCACCTCCTGTTTAAGAAGGGTTGTTACATTGTATTTGTTGATTTTTTTTTATTCATAAATGTTCAATGTTTAATATTTGTGTTTTTTTCAAAATTTGTATGTGGGTAAATACGAATACAGTGTATGAATTAAAATTGTGCGAACTTGAGACGTTCTTTATTTGTGATGTTATTTAGATTACAATACCATCAACACCACAACTCAGCCTTCCAAGTCACTGAATCTAATAGAAACACCGTCTTCTTCAGACCCAATGGGTATAGAGTCATGGTATTTGTTTAGTAGCTCTCTGCGAAGGAGCACAAAACAGTTTTCGAGAAATAATCTTGACTTACTTTTAATAACGGCCAGTAACTTGCTGATATGGAATGTTATTAAGTTTGAAAGAAAAAAAAACGGGCCTGCACCATTTGTTTATGATCGAGGGGAGTGAAGTTTACAGTTAATTCAAGAAACGCATTATTAATTGATTAAGTATAAGTCTTGCAATAGGTCGACCTATTGATTGCTACAGTATTGATTAGAGTTTATGGGAGATGTATAGGAGCGTATGGTTACGGAGGCTAACAGGTACATGCAGGGGATGCTAAGCGTGAGCTGGACTTACAGGTGATGGTCATAATTAGTTTTTGCGCTTAAACGGAATAGGCAAACAGTTAAAACATCTGATAGGGGATAACTAGGTAGGGGACTAACGGGTAGGAGGGCTAATGGGAAATTGTTTAATAAGTAGGGACTAATGGGTAGGAGGGCTAATGGGAATGTGTTTAACAAGTAGGAACTAACGGATAGGAGGGCTAGTGGGAATGTGTTTAACAAGCAGGAACAAATGGGTAGGAGGGCTAATGGGAATGTGTTTAACAAGTAGGCCCCAACGGGTAGGAGGGCTAGTAGGAATGTGTTTTACAAGTAGGGACTAACGGGGGGGGGGGCTAATGGGAATGTGTTAAACAAGTAGGGACTAACGGGGGGGGGGGCTAATGGGAATGTGTCTAACAAGTAGGTACTAGTGGGTAGGAGGGCTTATGGGAATGTGTTTAACTAGTAGTGATTAACGGGTATGGGGGCTAATGGGAATGTGTTTGACAAGTAGGGACTAATGGTTAGGAGGGCTAATGGGAATTTTTTTAACAAGTAGGGACTCACGGGTAGGAGGGCTTATGGGGATGTGTTTAACAAGTAGTGCTTAACGGGTATGTGGGCTCATGGGAATGTGTTTAACACGCAGGAACAAATGGGTAGGAGGGCTAACGGGGATGCGTGTAACAAGTAGGGACTAATAGGTAGGAGGGCTAGTGGAAAAATTTTTAACAAGTAGGGACTCACGGGTAGGAGGGCTTATGGGGATGTGTTTAACAAGTAGAAAGTAGGGAATAATGGGTAGGAGGGCTAATAGGAATGTGTTTAACAAGTGGGGACTAGTGGGTGGGAGGGCTAATGGGAATTTTTTTAACAAGTAGGGACTAACGGATAAGAGGGCTAGTGGGAATGTCTTTAACAGGTAGGGACTAACGGGTATGTGGGCTAGTGGGAATGTGCTTAACAAGTAGGGACTCACGGGTAGGAGGGCTTATGGGGATGTGTTTAACAAGTAGTGAGTAACGGGTATGTGGGCTCATGGGAATGTGTTTAACATGTAGGGACTAACGGGTGGGAGGGCTAATGGTAATGTGTTTAACAAGTGGGGACTAGTGGGTGGGAGGGCTAATGGGAATTTTTTTAACAAGTAGGGACTCACGGGTAGGAGGGCTTATGGGGATGTGTTTAACAAGTAGGGCCTAATGGGTAGGAGGGCGAATGGGAATGTGTTTAATAAGTAAGGGATAAGGGGTAGGCGGGCTAATTGGAATGTTTTTAACAAGTAGGGACTACTGGGAAGGAGGGCTCATGGGAATGTGTTTAACTAGTAGTGATTAACGGGTATGGGGGCTAATGGGAATGTGTTAAACAAGTAGGGACTAACGGATAAGAGGGCTAGTGGGAATGTCTTTAACAGGTAGGGACTAACGGGTAGGAGGGCGAATGGGAATGTGTTTAACTAGTAGTGATTAACGGGTATGTGGGCTCATGGGAATGTGTTTAACTAGTAGTGATTAACGGGTATGTCGGCTAATGGGAATGTGTCTAACAAGTAGGTACTAGTGGGTAGGAGGGCTAATAGGAATGTGTTTAACAAGCAGGGACAAATGGGTAGGAGGGCTAATTGGAATTTGTTTCAACAACTAGGGACTAGCGGGGAGGAGGGCTAATGGGAAATTGTTTAATAAGTATGGACTAATGGGTAGGAGGTAACAAGCAGGAACAAATGTGTAGGAGGGCTAATGGGATGTGTGTAACAAGTAGGGACTAATGGGTAGAAGGGCTAATGGGAATGTGTTTGACAAGTAGGGACTAATGGGTAGGCGGGCTAGTGGGAAAGAGTTTAACAAGTAGGGACGAAATAACTTGTACGTTGAAATACGGCTGGGGGGGGGGGGGGGGGGGGGAGATACAGGGGCTTACACGTAAGGGGCTAATTATACCAGCCCGGGACTGTAATGTAGCGATTACGGAGTTACAAATGTTAAAAGTAGGGAGTTAACAGGTACAGAGGGGCTACAGGAAGGGGCTAATCGGTATGGGTGTTTACATGCTTAGAAGCCACATGGGTAATCAGATTGAACTCAGTTGTATATTTGTAGGAGGGCTGATGGGAAATTGTTTAATAAGAAGGGACTAATGGGTAGGAGGTAACAAGCAGGAACAAATGTGTAGGAGGGCTAATGGGATGTGTGAAACAAGTAGGGACTAATGGGAAGGGGGGCTAATGGGAATGTGTCTAACAAGTAGGTACTAGTGGGTAGGAGGGCTGATGGGAATGTGTTTACCAAGTAGGAACTAACGGATAGGAAGGCTAGTGGGAATGTGTTTAACTAGTAGTGATTAACGGGTATGTGGGCTCATGGGAATGTGTTTAACTAGTAGTGATTAACGGGTATGGGGGCTAATGGGAATGTGTCTAACAAGTAGGTACTAGTGGGTAGGAGGGCTTATGGGGATGTGTTTAACAAGTAGTGAGTAACGGGTATGTGGGCTCATGGGAATGTGTTTAACTAGTAGTGATTAACGGGTATGGGGGCTAATGGGAATGTGTTTACCAAGTAGGAACTAACGGGGAGGAGGGCTAATGGGAATGGGTTTAACAAGTAGGGACGAAATAACTTGTACGTTGAAATACGGCTGGGGGGGGGGGGGGGGCGGAAGATACAGGGGCTTACACGTAGGGGGCTAATTATACCAGCCCGGGACTGTAATGTAGCGTGAACTCAGTAGTATATTTGTAGGAGGGCTGATGGGAATGGGTTTAACAAGTAGGGACGAAATAACTTGTACGTTGAAATACGTCTGGGCGTGTGGGGGAGGGGGGGGGGGGAGATACAGGGGCTTACCCGTAAGGGGCTAATTATACCAGCGAGGGACTGTAATGTAGCGATTACGGAGTTACAAATGTTAAAAGTAGGGAGTTAACAGGTACAGAGGGGCTACAGGAAGGGGCTAATCGGTATGGGTGTTTACATGCTTAGAAGCCACATGGGTAATCAGATTGAACTCAGTTGTATATTTGTAGGAGGGCTGATGGGAATGGGTTTAACAAGTAGGGAAATGTGTTTAACAAGTAATGATTAACGGGTATGTGGGCTAGTGGGAATGTGCTTAACAAGTAGGGACTCACGGGTAGGAGGGCTTATGGGAATGTGTTTAACATGTAGGGACTAACGGGTGGGAGGGCTAATGGTAATGTGTTTAACAAGTGGGGACTAGTGGGTGGGAGGGCTAATGGTAATGTGTTTAACAAGCAGGGACTAACGGGTAGGAGGTCTAATGGGAATGTGTTTGACAAGTAGGGACTAATGGGAAGGGGGGCTAATGGGAATGTGTTTAACAAGTAGGGAATAATGGGTAGGAGGGCTAATGGGGATGCGTTTAACAAGTAGGGACGAAATAACTTGTACGTTGAAATACGTCTGGGCGTGTGGGGGAGGGGGGGGGGGGAGATACAGGGGCTTACACGTAAGGGGCTAATTATACCAGCGCGGGACTGTAATGTAGCGATTACGGAGTTACAAATGTTAAAAGTAGGGAGTTAACAGGTACAGAGGGGCTACAGGAAGGGGCTAATCGGTATGGGTGTTTACATGCTTAGAAGCCACATGGGTAATCAGATTGAACTCAGTAGTATATTTGATATTTATGTAGCCGTTATATATGTCCGTCTCAGTCGCACTCGACACTATCAATATAATAACAAATGACAACACAACTTCTGAAAATTACATAATTATTGGGCAGTGTAAAAACAATGTCAAAATTCAGAACCCTTCATTCAGTAACCCCTTTCTGTCGAAAGAAGATGATGTCCATAGCCAATTTTACATGTACCAGCAACATGCAGTGATTAAAGCGGTACCTGTCAAAAATAAGTAAGTAAAAAAAATATGCGCTGCGTCAAAAGATAATTTCGTTCATTTATGACGACCCCTGACATGCAGGATTAAAGATAAAAAAAAGTGAAAATTCATGTATGATATGGATAATGTAAGTCATGTACTTAACCCCTCAAGTATTCTTTAAATCGCATAATCGACAAGCAGGAAGCTACAAATATAGTCATATGTCCATGCCAAAACCCATATGTAGACAGCCTAATTAACTGTGTACGGTTTGAGTCAGTTTCCGGTTACAGTTCGTGACGATTTACCTTTATCACTAAACGTATTTATGCTTGTCTGTACCACTTGATAAACTTCAGGCGTTACCGTCGAACGCTTTGTAAATACTATACATGTTGTACATGTAGGTAAGTCAGCATACTTTTGATGTCTTTACATGTGTAGTTTGTGGAAAACGGTTAGTATATCATATTAAGGTTTTGGCACCAATTGAATGAGAATGCAAGTTGCTAACAAAGTTGCCTTGATAACGGGATCAGGAAAAGGACTCGGCAAGGCCTTTGCGGGCGCGTTACTTGCACGAGGAGCTAGGGTAAGTACATGTACATATTGTATCTCATTATATCCTCACATCAAGTGTTTCTGTCCTGCCACACATATTGTGCAGCCAAATTCATGATTGTTAATAACTTTCATACTTGAACTCAAGACAGCTGTTAAATTCAGTTCAAAGTTCATACGGTGTTTACAATTGGTAACAGTCTGGTGTCACGGTGTGCAACCAGTGACTCTCTGAATTGATATAGCAAACCGTGGTTTTAGTAATGTGATCATCACCTCTCCTAGTTCCGTGTTCTATAAATATGTATATTTCGGTTGACTGATTTACCATACAACCATGTTTACACGAATTGTGTTGGTAAAGCTGGGATCTATGAATGCTGTATGCTTTTGATCTATGCGTGCTCTGTGCATTTGATTGCACGCCAGACATGATGATAGCATAAGAAATTATAAAAGAATTTGCTTTGTGTCTGTAGTAAGCATTTTTTTCTCAGGTTGTATTAAGTGTTTAACAAGTAGGAACTAACGGGTAGGAGGGCTAGTGGGAATGTGTTTAACAAGTAGGGATAAAGGGTAGGAGGGCGAATGGGAATGTGTTTAACAAGTAGGGATAAAGGGGAGGAGGGCGAATGGGAATGTGTTTAACAAGTAGGGACTAACGGGTAGGAGGGCTAGTAGGAATGTGTTTTACAAGTAGGGACTAACGGGTAGGAGGGCGAATGGGAATGTGTTTAACAAGTAGGGATAAAGGGTAGGAGGGCGAATGGGAATGTGTTTAACAAGTAGGGACTAACGGGTAGGAGGGCTAGTAGGAATGTGTTTAACAAGTAGGGACTAACGGATAGGAGGGCGAATGGGAATGTGTTTAACAAGTAGGGATAAAGGGTAGGAGGGCGAATGGGAATGTGTTTAACAAGTAGGGACTAACGGGTAGGAGGGCTAGTAGGAATGTGTTTAACAAGTAGGGACTAACGGATAGGAGGGGTAGTAGGAATGTGTTTAACAAGTAGGAACTAACGGGTAGGAGGGGTAGTAGGAATGTGTTTAACAAGTAGGAACTAACGGGTAGGAGGGCGAATGGGAATATATTTAACAAGTAGGGATAAAGGGTAGGAGGGCGAATGGGAATGTGTTTAACAAGTAGGGACTAACGGGTAGGAGGGCTAGTAGGAATGTGTTTAACAAGTAGGGACTAACGGGTAGGAGGTCTAATGGGAATGTGTTTAACAAGTAGAGACTAACGGGTAGGAGGGCTAATGGGAATGTGTTTAACAAGTAGGGAATAACGGGTAGGAGGGCTAATGGGAATGCGTTTAACAATTATGGATTAACGGATAGGAGGGCTTACACGTAAGGGGCTAATTATACCAGCGAGGGACTGTAATGTAGCGATTATGGAGTTACAAATGTTAAAAGTAGGGAGTTAGCAGGTACAGGTAGGGGCTAATCGGTATGGGTGTTTACATGCTTAGAAGCCACATGGGTAATCAGATTGAACTCAGTAGTATATTTGATATTTATGTAGCCGTTATATATGTCCGTCTCAGTCGCACTCGACACTATCAATATAATAACAAATGACACCACAACTTCTGAAAATTACATAATTATTGGGCAGTGTAAAAACAATGTCAAAATTCAGAACCCTTCATCCAGTAACCCCTTTCTGTCGAAAGAAGATGATGTCCATAGCCAATTTTGCATGTACATTTGTCAGTGGTATTCTTGGTAATGGGTATCAGGTGCAGACATTTGTCAGTGGTATTCTTGGTAATGTTTATCAGTTGCAGAATAATACAAATATGTCATATGTCTATGCCAAAACCCATATGTAGACAGCCTAATTAACTGTGTACGCTTTGAGTAAGTTTCCGGTTACAGTTCGTGACGATTTACCTTTATCACTAAACGTATATATGCTTGTCTGTACCACTTGATAAACTTCAGGCGTTACCGTCGAACGCTTTGTAAATGCTATACATGTTGTACATGTAGGTAAGTCAGCATACTTTTGATGTCTTTACATGTGTAGTTTGTGGAAAACGGTTAGTATATCATATTAAGGTTTTGGCACGAATTGAATGAGAATGCAAGTTGCTAACAAAGTGGCCTTGATAACGGGATCAGGAAAAGGACTCGGCAAGGCCTTTGCGGGGGCGTTACTTGCACGAGGAGCTAGGGTAAGTACATTTACATATTGTATCTCATTATATCCTCACATCAAGTGTTTCTGTCCTGCCACACATATTGTACAGCCAAATTCATGATAGTTAATAACTTTCATACTTGAACTCAAGACATCTGTTAAATTCAGTTCAAAGTTCATTCGGTGTTTACATTTGATAACAGTCTGGTGTCACGGTGCACAACCAGTAACTCTCTGAATTGATATAGTACACCGTGGTTTTAGTAATGTGATCATCACCTCTCCTAGTTCCGTGTTCTATAAATATGTATATTACGGCTGACTGATTTACCATACAACCATGTTTACACGAATTGTGTTGGTTAAGCTGGGATCTATGAATGCTGTATGCTTTTGATCTATGCGTGCACTGTGCATAGCATAAGAAATTATAAAAGAATTTGTTTTGTGTCTGTAGTTAGGCATTTTTTTCTCATGTTGTATAAAGTTGAAAGAATGACGAGAGATTTGATTAATACGGTAACATTTAGAGGTGCCATAACTTATCTTGACCTGTTATAGCCATTTCTGGCATCATTGCTTGGCGTGAAATGACACATTATCTTATAAAGTGCTTCTACTTATCTAGGTCGCATGACTCTTGGATGAACCTTTATTTACTATAACCGAAATGTTGTAAATATGTTTAGTGCTCGCCTTGTCAACCGTCGTGATATGCAACCGATGCGCTCAAGCACAGCTAGAAAAATAGAAACTAAAGTCTGCTTTACCTAGGTACATATATGTCTGAATTCCTGTTTTCAGACTAAACTAAGTTCGCTTTCTATCATTTAAATAAGTAAAGTTCTAGTTCAGTAGATTCCATTTACATATTCCAATACCGATATTTAATTGGGGCTTTAAATATGACTAATCGTGGTGTTGAAATTAACGGGACCATACCATCATTCAGGGGGCATGCTGAACCATAAAGCTGGCATACTATCCTCAATAGTGTGCCTTGTGGTTTTGTTGTAACTACCCCGAGTCTTCCTTTCAAGATGTGACAATTGAAGTTGATCTGGGTTACAAAGAGGGTGACGTCGATGAAGCAGAAGACGCTTGCCCTTCCGGAACACGTGGCCTTCTTATTCTATTTTGGTATTCCTTTTTTATTTATTTTTGGTCTAGTTTCGAAGGTTCTGCATTCAAATCCCAGTTTTGTTTTTCGGTATTCTCTTGTTATTCTATGAGGACAATAGCAAAGATATTACATGCAAGTTAATTGCAACGAGCAATACATCAACGTTGTAGATATAATCATTTCATGTTTAAATCATTGTTATGACCGTAACCGTTAGGTGTGCGTGCATCAAAAGGTTATATAGCAATCCCTGTATCTACGGTACACACATCTATGATGCTTTATGACGAAATCTTGCGCCAATCAAAGGACAGATATTGCCTTGATTTGAACTTTGAGTGACCTTTAGGTGTACTGACCTTGGATATTTGTTCGATGCATGTCCTTTCCTGTTTTCATATTTGCCTATATGTGTACGTTTTGAAGCGGTTGATTCTTTGTTAATTACATTGTTCAATAAATGATCGTTAGTATAGACTTGCTTTAGTTATTTCTTTGTAATTAGGAAGTAAGAGTAGTTTTGATTGGCTAATGAAAGAAGGCATTTCATTGGATGGCTAGGTATATAAATAGAGGTATCATCAGATGAAAAGCTTCTCTTGCTCTGGCGGTCGAAGAAGAAGGAACAACTCTAAAAAGGTAATCAGTGACCAAGCTGTATAAGTTTGGGCCTAGCTGCATAAGCTAGGGTTCCACTGTATTCCTTTATAGTACATGGTCAAAATAAATTGTGTTACAGTATAGTGTGCATAGTCACAGGGTATCACAGTACAGGGCGACGTACTGTTGATACAGGGTGTCAGGTACCAAGACACAGGGTTTACCAAGGCATAGGTTTTATAGTGGCTAGCTATAGGGTGACTTGGTCAAACGGCAGTCGCGGTAAAGGGTGACGTGGTCAAGGTGTGTCGCGGTAAAGGGTGTACACAGTCACGGGTGTCGCAGTAAGGGGCTATTTACTGTTGATACAGGGTGACGGATATATTGTGATACAGTTGTTTTAGTTGGCTTTTTGACTATATTAGTGTTAGAGGTATATTAATGTAAAATATCTACCGGGTGTAGATTAGGTAATAGTTATTTGAGTCAGAAAGACGGCCGTTATTTTGTATATATTGTCGGCACTTGTTTGTTACAACAATTACTGGGTCCAAGAAAGAACTTGGTAACGAACTGTAGGCACGCATCCGTTACAT